GCTACTGCTTACTGTGAGATAGAGTGTGCACATGAAACAGTGAGATTGGATCAGTTTAACACACCCTCTCCATGTTTCAGCTGGTTCACAATGTTGTTTCTGTTGCCTGATTAAATGATTACAAATTTAAAAGGGAGGAGCAGAGTGTGCAGACATGATGTGGCATTACATTCTCCAAGGAAGTGAGTAAAAACATTGAAAGCTGAGGTAGTATAGATAAACAGGCTGAAGGATTTTCGTTTTTTTAAAACTGTAATCCAGTTCTTCATCAACCTGTCTCCAATCCAACCTTTCTATATGGTCTGTTCCCAATAGTCTGCACAGGCCACTGCTTCTGGTGTTGATGTTGCCAGATCTTGTGGGGTGCATTGTGATGTTACAGGGCATCTCAGAAGGTCATTAGGTTTTTATCTGCTGACCTTGCGAGCCTATCCAGGTCAGCCTGAATACCCAGCTTATCCTCCAGAGTAGCTGCGCTTCCCCATAGTTTGGTGTCATCCACAAACTTAGCCAGTCAGCTTCTGACACCTGAATCCAGATCGTTAATGAATATATTAAAGAGTACTGGTCTGAATACTGAACCCTGAGGGATGCCACTGGTCACCAGACCCTATGCTGACTCAGTGCCATCCACTATCTCTGTCTGGGTCCAACCACAAGAGCCAGTTCCCCAGCCATCAGAACGTAAGGTCATCAAGACTGCAGTTCCCCAGTTTTGCCATGAGAACATCATGAAAAATCAACTCAAAGGCTTGTTTGAAATCTAGGTAAATGGCATCAACCTCTGCCCCCTCCCCCCCGATCCATGTGATGCGTCACCTGATCATAGAAGATGAGGTTAGTCAGACATGACCTACTCATAACAAAGCCATGTTCGCTGTCTCTCAGAATGGCGTCTTCTGTCAGCCTGTTGTTGATGGATTCTTTGATAATTTGTTCCACAATCTTCCCAGGGATTGAGGTCAAGCTGATTGGCCTGTAGTTCCCTGGATCTTCCTTCCTTCCTTTCTTGAAGATAGGCTCCACGTTGGCCCTCTTCCAGTCTTCAGGAACCTCTCCTGAGCACCACGAGTTCTCAAATATTCACACCAATGGTCAAGCTATGATGTCGGCCAACTCTTTTAGCACTTTTGGGTGTAGTCCATTAGGGCCCACTGATTTATGGATGTCCAGCCTCTCAAGGTGTTCCCTCACAAGGTCTTCACCAAATGTAGGCTTATGGTTACCCATAGCCTGGTAGTCCTGTGTCCTGTCAGGCAGGGTGATCCCCTTGGGCTGGTGAAAAACCAACACAAAGTAATCATAGAGATCAACTTTTTCCTCGGTGTCGGTTGTCAGCTGCCCCATTTGATTCAGCAGATGTCCAGTGTTGCCCTTATATTTCTTTTGACTTCCTACATATCTGAAGAAGGACTTTTTATCACATAGCCAGCTTGAGCTTGGTATTGGCCTTAGCTTTTCTGGTCCGCTCCCTACAGGTGCAGGCCAGTGATGCATAATCCTCCTGCAATTCTCCACATCATACCTATAGGCTCAGCAGTGCCTCACACACTAGCACTATATTCAGAAGAGACTTGGGAGTCATGACTGACCACAAGATGAATATAAGCCACCAATGCAATGCCGCAGCCAACAAAGCAAATAAAACCATGGCTTGCATCTACCAACGCATTTCAAGCAAGACCCAAGATGTCGTTCTCCTGCTTTATTTGGCCTTGGTGAGGCCACAGCTGGAGTACTTCATCCAGTTCTGGGATCCACACTTTCGCTCAAGAGAGTCCAGAGGAAAGCCACGTGCATGATCAAAGGCCAAGAGAGCAGGCCTTATGGGGAGAGGCACGGGATTCTTCAGCTTGGAAAAGCATAGACTCGGGGGGACTTGGTGGCAGCCTATAAGTGTATCAGGGGTGTACATCAAGATCTGGAAGAACATCTGTTCACCAGGGCTTCCCTTAGAAAACAAGGTCCAATGGTCACAAACTGCTGGAAGACCGTTTTAGAGTGGACATAAGGAAAAACTTCTTTACTGTCCAAGTCTCCACAGTCTGGAATAGACTCTCCAAAAGTGGTGCAGTCACTTACTCTGGGCAATTTCAAGATGCATTTGGATGATTATCTTTTTGCAGTCATTTGACCCCAGCTGACTTCCTGCCCTCTGGGCAGAAGGCTGGACCAGATGATCTTGCAAGGTCCCTTCCAGCCCTGATGTCTATGAAGTCTATGAAATCTATGAAATGATTCACGGTTTGCTTCTCCTGACAAATACATTGGTCAATTGCATAGGGGCCCCATGATTTAATTAGAAAGTTACATCTTTTGAGACCCACTCTCAATCTGTTCAGGCACTGCCATATGTGCCATTTGTAATTGGAGCAGGATGCTAACTCTTCACATTCAATGGCTTTGTAATCCAGTTCTCCAGGAACAAACACTGAGATCCCAATTAAGGATCCAATGAAGTAAATGGAGACAGGTTTGGAATCTTAATTTTCACATCGTACTTTTTGTACTTAGGGAAATGGGAAGGAGAAATATCAATTTTAAAATCCTTTTGCAAATAATCTTCCCATAGCTTTGTCATCCTCTGTTAAAAATCTGATGTACATGCCTAATTCTCATTAACACTCATGGGACATAGATACATAAGTGAAAAAGAAAATATAGAAGAGAATATTCTCCATTAGGCCTAAATCATGACAAGTACTACAGTCCTCCTAATCTACTTTAATTTCTATTGTTTTTTAAAGATAGGTGCGACCAACCTTTCTGAGCTGTGGGCTGGATGAGTGGTACAGGGTCAGTCCAATGGGTTAGATCTGGTGCATGGGATCAACTCATGCAGGGGATTTTTTTCCCAAAGAGGGGTGCAGGAGCAACAACCCATACTGCAGTGGTGGCTGTGCTCCCTGCTTCCAGCCTCCTCTCCTCCCACCAATGCAGGCAGATCACCCTTGGGAGCTTTCAGGGACTTTTCAGAGGACCTAAAGTGGTGAAAAAATTCCTCCCTCCCTTTCCCTTCTCCCCACCCCCCCCCAGCCACTGTTGCCTTCCCTGCTGTCCTAGGGGTAGGGGAAGCACCAGAGCTGTTCCTGCCCCCCTGCTGTGTCAGGGCTGGGTTCAGCTGGGGACTGGGGCAATGGCCACAGTACGGCAGGAGATTAGCTCTTCTTCCCTGCCTGGTTCTCTTAGAGCAGGCGCAGGAAAGGGGATTTCCCCCCCACCCAACCTTCATGTCCTTAGCTGAGCCCAGCCCATGGGGAAAGCAACAGAAGCAACTAGGAAAGAAAGGGAGGCAGGATTTTCACTTGCTTTAGGGGTTTAAACTAGTCCCCAGAGGCCCCTGTGGTGCAATCCAATCCAAAAGGGGGCACAGTCACACCACTGCACCCCTTCTGGGCCACCCCTTGGTCTGCAGACCAGATTCAGTGTAGGGTTGACATGTGGCATATGTGCCATATCCCTCTGTCCTGGACCTGTACGTGCCAGATTGGGCCTGCTGCCCAGATCCCAGCCCCTCAAGCACTGGATCAGGCCTCCTGCCCCCACCCTCTGCATGACAGATTGAGCCATCTGCCACAGCCCCAAACCCCTGGTCCCATGCACACCAGCTCAGGCCTGACACCCTAGTTCCATCTCTGTGCATGCTGGATTGGGCCCCAGATCCATTCATTGACCCTATCTGGCACACGGGGCCATGTCATTGAGCCTGTGGAACCTGGAAGTTGGTGGTGGGGTGGTGACAGTGTTGACTGCCATCACACAACTGGTGCCAAATTTCTAGACATGGGGAGAGCTCATGAGCCAGATGACATGGCTTCACAGGCTGGAGGTTGAGCACCACTGTTTAAAGGGCAAAAAGTCTTGCTCAGATTGGTAGTTCATCTGAGTCATCTGCTGCTGGCATTTTAAGGAAAGAGTTGATATACTTAATACCAAGTGTTCATGCTTCCCATTGAAAAATGAATTTGTTTATTAAAGTTTAAATCTGACCCATCTTTATCCTTTTGGTAAAGACTGGTTTAGTAGTGTCTCTGCACCTGATGAGGTATTGGATAATTACAAATATACCGTAATAAAAAATCTTGAATCCTCATTGCTGTAAATTGGTTACAGATACGTGACAGAGAATAAGTAACCAATAGCTGCAGTAAAAAGAGTAAAACACATTGATACAGTCAATTAGTATGTTATTGCAACTGTAAAAAAAGGTTGATAATGTCTTATTATGGCAATTAGCCTTGGGAGACATTGCAAAAACTCTCAGGTAATGGCCAATTTCCTGTGGACTAATGGTTAATTAGCTACAGCAGAAGTGTGAAACCACATTTCCAGTACACCCAATAAAGAGAGTGGACTGTCTGGAGAAACAACGTGAAAACACAGGAGACCCTGCAAGTATGACCACTTCGCTATTGTTTCAGTGCCGGTGCCAAAGTTATGAAAGGGTAACTGTTAAGAGCCTGCTACGTAATGCAAGATGGCAGGGTCAGTCCAGGGGAAAGAAATCAGGCTGACTGGGGTAAATGAAGTATGAAAGAAGCTTGATGACTTCTCCAAAGTCACAGCACGATTTACTGGTACAGAAGTAAAAAATAAAAAATAAAAATCTAAGTGTTCCCAGTTCCCTGATAGCCTGCTTCTATCAGTGCTTCTACACTGTGCTGTTTTTCTGTCTTTACTTTCTGGTGATCTTTTTCTGGTGTTCAATATAGGAGAACAAGTTAAGTGACAACTCGTCTTCTTCCAAACATAGGGAGATGATAGTCTTTTTGCTTTATTCTATGAGAGTGGTTCTCATTTCTTTCCAACCCGAATACCTGTCTCAGTTCAGTTTTAGAAACTTATCCTGGAAGGGTCTTCCAATTCAGCAACCTAGAAAGGGCAGGGTGATCATTACCCATTGATATCTGTTCCTGACTTTCAGTTTGAAAGCTTTTGTGATATGAAATACAGAGGTAATGTGTCATGTACTCACTGAGCCTGTGTTCTCTTTTTTTTAGTGACATGAAGAAGGTTGGTGTTACAGTTGTTGGGCCTCAAAAGAAGATTATTAGCAGTATTAAAACTCTAGAAACTCATACAAAGAACAACCCAGTTCCTGTGTAAGGTACCAAAATGATGTTGCTCAGGACAGAAACAGAGAGAAGTTGCTTCAAAGGGCAAATGGTGATGGCTGAAGAAACTGCAGGATTTAAAGGCGTTCTCACAACAGTGCTGGGAATATTGGTGGAAATTTCTAGCCCACTAAGACACTCAAATATTGAGTACAAATGCCTTAAAAATAGGAGCGAACTTTTTTTTCTATTAGTCCTAAAGGGTGGGTGCTTTTCTTCCCCTATGATAATTGACTGTTAATCCATATAATACATTTGAAAAGGAAAAAAGAAATATGTAAAATTCTTTCCAAGTAAAACAGTGAAACTAAAACCTGGAGCCATTTGAACATTAACTGACTGAATACCATGAAGAACCATAAACACACAGGCTGTGTGTTTGATCAACAGCAGCAACAAGAAAATAAAAAATAAAAGAAAACTTGCAGTATTTTTATACACAGAAGAGATCTGTAGCAGGTCCTTTATTTCTTTAAAATCAAGCAAAATAGAGGATTATACCTCAGACTTATCTGGCCATACTTACAATATTATCCTTGTAATATTCTATTTCAACTGGAATACAGAAGCAGTAATCACTTTAGAGTCAGTTCACAAATGATTTTTGCCATTATGTTAACTCTCCTGATTGTGTTCTCTTTCCAAACAAAAGAGGCTTAATTTTTTTTAATGTATATTTCTTTTCCCCAGTATTGTTGACAATTATGGTGAAATATCTTAGATTTCTTATTGCCAAGTGCCAAATCTTGTCAAACTTCATTGGTTTAACCTAAAATTGTTTGATGATGTGTTACTTACTAGATTTTTTTGTATAACATTTTAAATACAAAAGAAAAGGTCTTTTTCCAGCTCTTGCTCTAAATGAACTGTCTGGAGTTGCTGCATTCCATCCATTTACAGTAAACAGCTGTGTTACACTTTTAACCTAGGGTAATATACTGGCAGAAATGTATGTGGACAACATGCATGTTGTTCTCTAAATCAACAACAGGCAAGTTTCTTTCTTTGACTTCCCAAAGGACAGATTTGCCATCAATATAAATGATTGGTTTCAGTAGTGTGATTTGCAGAGCAAGTTGTGACATCTCAAGCTAAGTGGGGCAGAATTGTTTCTTCGCTTGTTGGAGCTCCATCATAAGTTTGCTTGGGAAAGGTCTATTTCTGGAGCGGAAGGTCCAAGCTTGCTGTATGTGCATGATTAGCTGGCAGTGAAGGGCTGTGCATGTATACAGGCCTAGTCATTATACTAGGATGGTGATGCAGGGGCAGGTCTTTAAAAAGGGACTTTAGTGCCTATAGTCACACTTGTGTCAAGTTTAGGCAGCCTTGTCCCAAACTTCCATCCTGAACACCTCTGCAAGCTACTGCATAACCCTGTAGTCATCCAAATCCCATAGGCACTTTACCTTTTGCTTTCGGGTTTCCCAGGCTCTAGAGCTGTGCCTCTGCGCATGTTCAGAATCTCCCCAAATTCGCTGAGCAGCTCAGTGCCTTGCTCACGTGTTGGCATGTTAAGAAGCCTTATTGGTGGCCAGAGCTCAATCCAGTAGGCATTTCTAGACAACACTGAACACAAGCTCACAGAATTAGGCTCTGCCCAACTGGAGTTGCAACTGCTATTTTTCTTTTAAAACCCTTCTGGAGGAGGATGAGGAAAAGGCAGTTGTCAAGTTTTTTAA